CCGGTATTGCCAGTCCGTTCTCCTGATGGCAAGGCTAATCTAGAAGAGCTGGGAGGATATTGGTATCGCCACAAGAACCTATGGCCGTCACTTACACGGCTGGCACTCTCATATTTGTCTTGTCCTCCGTCATCAGTAACGTCTGAGCGAGTCTTTTCTCTGGCGGGGAACATTGTAACAAAAAAACGGTGCGCCCTTTTGCCAGGGAACATCGGTAAACTTGCCTTTATTAAGTTTAATAATAAAAAGTTTTAACCACATTGATGTCATTGACATTGCGTCTGTGAGCGACTGCTTCTTGTCTTGTCTTGTCTTGTCTTGCGCAACCAGTAGACCACAGTGACCACTTCCATAATTCAGACAAATTTAAATATTCTTTTATGTGCATCTTAATAAGCCTTCTCGGCCTCGTTTCAGTTAAAAAATTCTTTGCAATTTTAGTCATAGAAACGAGGCCGAGAAGGCTTATTAAGATGCACACATAAAAGAATATTTAAATTTGTCTGAATTATGAAAGTGGTCTATACTATGCATCATGCCATCATGCATAGTACGAAATGTTCATGCGAAGTGTTAAAATCAAAAACAAAGACAGTGCTTCCACTTTGAAATGTTAAATTTCCATGAAATTTCACGAATTTGCTGTAGCTGGAAATTTTCTGCCGGAAGCGGAGTTTTTTTTCCCGGAGCCGGAGTTTTTTTGGCCGAAGCCGGAGCCGGAGGTGAAAAACCCGGAGTTTGCACAGCACTAGTCTATAGAATGTGGGCGCATAAAACTACAGGAATATATTACTGAAGATTCATTAATGCGCACTTTCGCATCCTTTCACTGGTTCCAACTTGTGAATATAAACTAAACTTCCAATTTAGATCGTCACAGTGCTTTGGGAGACGCTAAAGCTTTGCAGAAAATATTTGGTGGCCCCCTTCGTGAACATATCTCCCGTATTGAAATGAAGAAGAAATTGTCTTCATAGTAAGTATTATGTTAGTTGGGGAAGATCAGATTTTTCCCCCCGCAAACCCATGATTGTGTAACTGGTGTTATATTGTCCTTTTTAGTGTCAGTTTAAAGAAACAGAAAACGAACAGGACAAGTGGACAATCTTACGCTCCCATTGGCGATGGTTGGCATCAATTTTTGGGCATTAACTAGTTTTTTCCTTAACAACTTGTGACAAGTTTAATCAAAATTGTTCATTATTCTTGTTTTGTAGTGCAATTCTGCGTGACAGCTTATTTGGACGATTGATCAAAGTAAGTTGGAAGTAAGTAGGTTGGCAAATTGAAAAGCTGTAAAAATGGGAAACAACGATATAGCCCAAGGAACAACAAAGCCTGATACTCAGGTTAAAGATACCCAAGCAAAGATACCCCAATTATTCACCCCTGTATTTGTTCATCTTTTTACAAACATGTCGTTCATTCAGATCAAAATAATTTTCCTTTCTTTGTGTCTTTTAGAAGATAAAGACTTGAGTGCAAACTTCTATAAAGACAACAATAGTTTGAATGTTGTGGAAAATTTCCTTTTAAATCCAAAGTTCATGGGCTGTGCCATGTTAAAGTTCCAAAGTTCATGTGTTGTGCCATGTTAAAATCCCAAAGTTCATGAGTTGTGCCATGTATATAGCAGCTATTAATAGAGGTCTTTAGACAGGTCTTGGGGTGGGGCATGAAACTTTTCGATTGTATGTAGGTATATGCTTGTGACTGTCTGTATATATTTTGATCTTTTTTATTTGTTGTTTTTTTTCATTAGTCAACGGAAATTATAGTTTCAGGCTTTATCCCTAGGATCAATAAAGCCTGATACTCCGGTTAAAGATTCCCAAGCAAAGATACATTCATATGAAAATAATTTTCATTCAGATCAAAATAATATTCATTCAGATCACAATAATTTTCCTTTCTTTGTGTCTTTTAGAATATCATGTCTCTCCTCCATTTAAAAAGTTCTGTTTCATGTGAGGGGAAATAGTCACTAAGACTGACTCCCTTTTGACAAATCAGAGGAAAAGTTATGCAAGGATGGCATGCTGTGAGTAATGCTATTGCCATTTGAAAATGGCACGTGTTTATATCAGTTTTCGAAGGAAAATTTAGGTGCAAACATTTAGGTGAACTGGCCTGGAGGGGGCTTCTAAAAACACTTTTTCCCAAGGAAAACATGACAATAACATGCTCATGTGGTACGGGGGTAATGCCGAAGAAGATTGCACAAGCTGCGATAAAGCATATTGAGAGAGATCATCAGAAGTGCGAGGCATTGAGAACTTGCGGAAATGAATTCACATGCAAAAATTAATCATTTGTGATTACGATACTAGCTTTTAACACGGTAATACCGTTTACCCTCAGGGTGCGATAATTCGCGTACCAACGTACCAGAGGTACGCCAAATTTATGGTCTGGTACTTCTTTGTTTTTAGCCAAGTACCACGTAGGTACACGGAAATTTACTATTCGCGTACTTACATTTCCCTTCTAGCAGTAACTAGCCAACCTGCCACCACTGTATGTAACTGAGGTCAGACAGTTAGCACCCTCGTTAAATCCACTGTAAATGAGCGACGGCATTCGAGTCACAACGTCATAGAATAAAGATCCATATAGAAGGGCCACTTACGTCGGAAGCTTTGAAGTTTCTGTCCTCGCGCATGTCGCATTACGCATGTTGGCCGCCATTTTCCTAGCCAGTCAATGACATTTTCTGGCCAATAAACATGCTGTACTGGCTGGCTGCTCCGCCTTCTGGCCAGTAAACTGCATATTTTTGCATAAAAAAATGAGGACACGTTGCACCGCTGAGTGGCCCTTCTGTTACTGATCTTTATTCTGTGACAATGTCGACGCTTTGAGAACTGTTATATATTATGTTGTACAAATACCATAATTAAAGATTCATTTGTACAAAATTGCCCATACATTTTTTGCTTTTGGACCAGTATTAAAACTATACGTAGGTATAAAACGCATGACTCGGCAGCAGTCTTAGGGAAGTCTTGACTCTTAAGTTTGTACCGGATCAGGTACGCGGGAAAAGTTGCCGGAGTACCAGTCAGGTACGGCCAAAAATATTGAATTATCGCACCCTGACCCTAATCTTGCCCCCTTGAGAAAGGCTAATTGGACAAGTAAAAAAAAAAAAATTGGTAAATCACCTGTTATCCCTCATATGTCCCCCTGAAACCAAAAGGTTTGTTTCAGTTCGGTGACTTCTATATACAAATTCAGTTTGGTGACTTTCTTTTGCTTACATCAATATCTATGGAAGATACGTCACCTGCAGCGAGGATTCCAACCGCAATCCGAGAATTGTTTCAACTGGCCAAAGAGACAGGGCTACCGGCTGGCATTTCAATTGGCGAGAAAGGGGAGCTCACCCTCAGAGAAAAGGCCATCCTTGGCAACTTGAAACTCCTGTTGGGATATAGGCATGCAGGGTACCGGTCTGATCGCACACTTGGAGCATATTGGCGGCTACATCGCAACCCTGCAGCACCCATTCCACCACAAGAACCACCACCTCGACGACCTCCCCAAGTGACAATAAACCTAGACAGTGATGAGGATGAGCAGCCACCCGCTGAAAACAAACCTCCAGCAAGACCAAGACCACCACCAACCAACCTAAACCATGCTCTGGTGATACTAGCATGAAACAATCATTGAAACATAGAAAACCGTCACGTCAGTTGGCAAGAGGTGCATAGATTGTTCACCATGCGATACCCAGAGGTAAACTCGACTAGCGAACGGCTGAAGAACAGAGTGGAGAAACCTACAAAGGAACAACCCGAACTTATTAGACTGTACTTATAAACTCTATAGAATAGCTTAATGTAAATAGTAAATGGTTCATGGAAAATGTAAATAGTATAAGGTTCATGTTAATAAATTTATATTCACTGGAGAGCGCCTTTTTTTTCGCCTTTTTTATTTATAATTTTTTTTCCAAATTTTGTTTAATGCAACATTATAAGGATCTCACCAAGGAAATTTATAATCCTAAGGATCCGAGAACATTTAAGTCTGTTTGTGTGAAGTGTCATACAACTCGCCCACTGACTAACTTGTCGAATCGAGCATGTTGTTAAATTTATTGTCACATAAATTGTAAGTCATTGATTGTAATTTTGTTGTGCTTGTTTGTTGATCTTCACGTCTGTCTGTTTGTTTGTCGATCTGCAAGCCTGTTATTGTTCATACTGTGTATTTCGAATGACTTGGAACCCCATTATTGGAGAACTAATCTCTGTGTGGTAATTTCAGCCACGTAATCTATTGTGTAACTAATTTTGTGTAATAGTTTGTGTTAAATGGCAAAAACACATGGGATTGTGAATTTTATTCTTTGCTGAAAGATCTCAAAATTGTCAGTGTAGACAAACCAGTTTCAATATCATGTCCACTAAATTATATAACAGTAATCGACAATTCCAAGAGGCAAGAACATCCATTATCCAGTTGAAATTTTGACATTTACCACTCCATCTGCCTTCTAGAGTATTCTGTGTCGCAAGAGTATTAATATTTATTATTATTATTATTATTATTGGTTTAATAAAATCCATTTTGCAGCTAAAGCTGAATTACATGGAAACAATATTTACAATATTAAATATTAAAATTAACTTTAACAATGTTGTATAGGATGATAATATGTATTCTATCCTAAATTAGGGTAGATTACGATAATATACTCTAGCTATTAAACTACCTATTATAAAAATGTATTCATAAAATGTTAACTATATTTAATGGTAAAAAAGTTCTTTAACCGTTCAGACATTATCGGTAAGAGTTGTGGATTATTATTACGCAGATCATAATTATGAGTTCGGTCTGGTAGACCGGATTTAACTATTGCAGTTAAAGGGTTGTGTGGCGAATCTTGGTCTCGAAGTGAGTTAATTAATTTCCTACATGCTTCTTCTCTTCTTGTACTCAGTAGTTTAATGTTACTTTTGTGTAATGCTTCATCATAAGATAGAGTAGGATACGCAATTTTTAAAGCTCTTTTTTGCACCGACTCAATAAGGTCTGATAATGTCTTTGGAAGAGCGGACCAAACTGGTGATGCATAGTCCAACTGGGATCTTATAACTGCACAATAAATATGAACAATGTTTAAAGGGCTCAATACAGCTTTCTTTAATAGGCGTAAAGCATAGATGCGTGAATTCGCTTTCTTTAAAATCTTATCTACGTGTATATCCCACGAAAGATTGTTAGTCAACCACACGCCTAGTAGTTTAAAACTGGAGACTCTCCACCACATCACCGCCTATAAAAATGTCATTTTCTACTAGTTTATATTTAAGAAACGTAATAACCATATCTTTTGCATTTCTTTGGATTTAGTCTCATTCCTCGTTCGTTTGCATAATCGGATATTTGGTCCACGATAATTGGTAGGAAGCTGGGTGAACATCGTGGAATTATTTTCAAGACCGTAGTATCGTCAACAAATTTGACTC